ACCGCCCGGCTCCAGAGCAGGTTCGGCTTCGCATCGTGCACGGTGCAAGTGGAGCGGCACCGGGAGGAGACAGCAGCCTGTCCCCACTGCCAGGACCCCCATGCCTGAGACCCCTGCCTGCTGCTGCACTGAGCCTGGCCCTGGCCCCCCCTGCCCTGGAGCAGCTCAGGGTGCTGTCCTCCCTGTACCCACCCCACTGCTGTGTAGCCCCGGGGTGGGACAGTGCCCCTGGTGCATGATCCTGGTTGGGACGGACACGTGGCCTGGCCGCAGCAGCACAGGGGCTCCCTGGGATCCTCCACTCCCCGCTGTGCCACAGCCTCTGAGGAAGGGGGATCCTGCCCCACCACCCACCCCCACGGAGCCCTGCCGTCCCAGCAGGAAGGGATGTCCCCTGTGGGGGGACCCTAGATGCAGCCTTGGCCCCAGATGCTTGTGTTCCCACCACCTCCTTTGCTGCTGCCCAGGCTCGGGGAGGGTGGGCCAGAGGAGCTGCTGCAACCCCCAAGTGCAGGGGGCTGGGGCAGCCAGAGCCCAGAGCTCAGCCCCCCACTGGCTGCTGTGCCGGGGCCTGATCCGTCCCCCTCGCTGAGTTGTGTCTGTGCCGCCGGTGTCCATCTGTCTGTCTGTGCCAGCAGCAGTGTCAGCACTGCCAATAAATGTGTTGGAGAAGCAGCAGTGGCGCAGGAGCCAGAGGGGCACAGGGAAGGGGACAGTGGGGTCAGGGCTGGACCCCCACAGTCACGGCCACAGCCACAGCTGCCCTGGTGCAAGCACCTCCACAGTCGTACAAAATCAACCACGTTTACTGCACAGCTGAACACAGGCTCAATGTGAGCAATTCCAAAGCTCCCAGCCCCCTCCCTGCCCCTCGGAGCGCAGTGGGGCCGGAGGCGAGCGCAAGCACAGCCCCACGCCACCGGGGCCCATGGGCACTTCTGTGGGGTCAGACCCACAGCATGTACCCCAGTACATGCACTAGTCCCACCACCCCCACCCAGCTCAGGCCAAACAGCGCAGACAGATCCTTCCGGGTTCGGAAGACGTGTCTGGAGGATCCCAGGAGCAGCTGGGAGCAGCCGCACCTCCCACAGCAGGGGCCCAGCGGGAAGGCAGCACCGAGAGGGGCCACAGTCCCTGGCCAGCACAGGCGGCCCCAGGCCCTGCCTGGGGTGAGCAGCACGAGGGACCAACCCCCCTACTCTGCCGGCACTGGGGAGCACTCGGGGGGGCCAGGGCTCCCAGACACATTCCTGTAGAGGGAAGCGAAGCGGGCCTGGCACTCCGGGAGCAGCCGGCGGCCCACACCGGAGGCCAGTCCTGCCAGGCAGTGCGCCCGCACGATGCCCGCCTGCCCACCCGACACCAGCCAGCCCTGCGAGTCCAGGTTGGGGCTGAAGCGCACCTGGGGGAAGAGAGGGGTTCGGGAGGAGTGGGGCTGAGGCACCGGGACCTGGGCCCCCAGAGCAGCGCTGCTGCTGCAGGGCTGGGGCTGGGCCTGGCCCCCTCACCTTGTGCAGGGCCTCCAGCTGCAGGCGGTCGAGGCTCAGCTCTGCCTTCACCTCCTGCGTGTGCATCCTGCGCATGGGCTCCCGGCTCGCAAAGTTCTGGAAGCTGCGCTGGAAAGGGGCAGCACCACCTTGGGCTGTGGGCCCGGGGCAGGAGCACTGCAGGGACCATGGTCCCAGCTCTGCTAGATGTGAGGGGCTGCCCCAATGCCCCAGCAGCGTCTCCTGGCCCTGCCACCCCCACAGCCCAGCCACAGCCCCACAGGCCCCACTCATGCGGCTGGACCACCAGCTGCATCCTGCCCTCTCCTACCAGGTCCGTGTCCTGGAATTGGATGTAGCTCCTGGCCACCATCTCACTGTAGCACCGGGTCCTGGGCAGTGCCTGCTCAGTGCTCTTGGGCCCGGCAGGGCTGCAGGGCAGCAGGTCGGCTTTGTACACTGGCTGTGGGTGAGAGGGGGCTCAGGGCAGGGCAGGGGTCCTGCTGCTCCTCTGCAGCCAGGGGCCACCAGGGATCAGCAGTGTGGGGGGCCCAGGATGCTCTTCCCATGCCCCCTCCCTGCCTGGCTCCCCGTGTGCTGGGCCAGGCTCCCCCCCGACCCCGAAACACAACAGCCTCTTACAAATCTGCGGTCCAAGGAGCGCTTGACGTTTAGGGGGTTGATGGCCAGGTCAGGCAGCACCGCAGCCACCAGCTCGCCGGTGATGTCACCCGCAGCCACCGTGTTCAGCCAGTCTGAGCCAGAGATGCTCTGCAGGGACAGAGGGCTGGAGGGTGCGGGGTCCCCACCACCCCCAGCCAGGCAGCGTCACCCACCCCTACCCGCGAGCCCCGGGCCCCAGCTGGCGCTGACCCGGCCCCCGGGACATAACGGCCCCACACCAGCCCTTACCCACACAGTGCCCTTGCGAGGGGCCACGAAATAGGCCTTGAAACCCAGGTACCCGGCGTCGATGTAGTGGATCCCGCAGAGCCCATACCTGCGGTGGAAGGGACAGGTTAAGGACAGAGCTCTGTGCTGCCACTGGGACTGCACGAGCCAGGCACAGCCCACCTTCCCCCAGACCCGGGTGGCAGGGGAGCCACCCTCGCTCTAGCAGCATGTCACAGGGCAACGAGGCAGCTCAGGGCAGATCCTGGAGACTGAGAACTCACCAGGAACACAGACCCCTTCAGCAGGACCCCCGCTGCCCTGCCCAGGGGCTGGCTGTCCCCTGGCCCACCCTTCCTGTGTCTCAGGATGGCACGGGAGAGGGGATGTCACGCTGTGCCGCTGCAGTGTGACCCAGCACAAGCAGAGCCTGCCTTTGCCACGGCATAGCTGTACAGTCCCAGGAAGGGGGAGGCCAGAGGGGCCCCTTGGGGGGTTGAACCAGGCCCCAGCAGTGGGGCTGGACCCTGGCACTCACGAGGCATAGCAGTTGTCCTGGGCCACAGTGATGCCATTGTAGGGCAGCAGCCAGGCCACCTCAGTGCTCAGGAACCTCTTGATGCTGTTGATGGGCTCGTAGAGTCGCCGCAGGTCCCAGAACTTGATCTTGCGGTCACTGCCTGCCGTGACCAGGAAGTTGCTGAGAACCAGGAGAAAGGTAGCACTGAGAGCCCAGCGCAGAGCCGGAGCCTGTCCTGGTGCAGGGTCCAGGTGGCCCCAGTCCCCCAGTGGCTCTACTGCCCTCACCATGGAAAGCCCAACTCTATCCCTCCAGTGTTGCAGAAGGCCAAGTGCCATTGGCACCATGGCCTCCCAAGCCCCTCTTGGCAAAGGAACCCCTCCTGAAGGAGGGAGCCCCTCTCCCGGCAGCACCTGTGCCCGCTCCTGCCCTCACTTGTCGGCCTTGCACCACTCGATGCTCCGGACCGCGTGGTCGTGGGCCAGGAAGCACTGGAAAGGGTAGAGCTTGAGGGAGGCATCGGGCTGGTGCACACATTGCAGCAGGGACTTGGTGAGCAGGTTCCAGATGGCCACGGTGCCTGTGGAGAGACCCATTTCCCTGAGGTGCTGCTGATGGCAGAGGTGTTGCAGTGTGGGACGGGAAGCGGCACAGGCAGGACTGTGGAATATGGCAGCCAGGCTGGAGCTAGGGCTCAGAGCAGGACAGGATGGCAGCAGGACCTGGCAGTGGCATGGGCAAGGTTGTGGGAGCTGTGGAACACAGCAGCCAGGTGAGAGCTGGGGCCAGGGCTCAGAGCAGGACAGGATGGCAGCAGGACCTGGCAGGACAGCATAGAGCTGCAGATCACTGGAAGGCTGGCAGAAAATTCCATCCAGGCAAGTTGAACAGATGTGGATTAGGCCAGAGCCACATCCTGGAGCCGACAGGTATGTGAGGGTGCCGATGGCCAGCCCAGAGAAGCCTTCCCCCACCCCAGGGATAGGCAGAGGTTCCAGCACAGCACCCACCGCTGGCTGCTGCTCCCCCCATCCCTCACCCCTGGGCTCCCCCGTTCCCTGCCCCAGCCAAGGATGAGGGAGCTCTAGGGTCTCTGCCAGGGCAAGGGCTGCTCTCCCAGTGTTGCTGTAGGGTGCAGGAGAGACTCACCGTCATAAAACCCCGCTGCCAAATGATGGTGGGGCTTGGAGGGCATCCAGGAGAGGCTGAAGCACTGCCCGCACTCGGATGCGTTCCCTGCCTGGATGGAGCCCACCTGGAGCGTGGCAATGCACTGCACCTGGGGGCCAAGGGACAGCCCTGGGTCACAGCCTGGCGCTGGTGCCATCCGTGCCCTGAGAGCCGGGATGTGCAGGGTGGGAGCACAGCTCTGCTCTGCCCTCCAACGCTCCGCAGCTGCCCCGGCTCCTCCCCGCTCTCCCACCTGCACCGGCCAGGGGGCTTGCTGGGTGCTGGCCCCGACAGGGACCACCGTGGTGGGGGACACTGACCTTGCAGATAAGGTGCTTGTGGAGGGGCCCATCTAGAAGAGAGCAGAGTGGGGTCAGGGCAGGTACCAGCTTTCTGGGAGCTCCCTGCCTGGAGCCTGGATCGCAGCTCCCCACGGCCTTGGCCAGGGCTCCTGGTTCCTGTCCTGCCACCCCCCCAGAGCAGTGTCCCCAGCACAGCAGGAATCAGAGCACATGGAGCACCAAACCCAAGAGCCAGCAGGGGCAGGACCCCAACCAGGCCTGCCAATGCGGGAGGAAGCAGCCCCCTGAAAGGCACTGCAGACAAAGATGAGGCAGGGCTGACATGCCCCCACCCCACCATGACTGGCACCAAAGTCAAGGGCATGCGATGATATGCAAGGGCAGACGTGACTGTGGCCACCCTAGGGAGGGAAGGAGTGGTTATGCAGGACATCTGCTCCATGGGGCGATGGGGCTGAAGGAGGTAGCACTCCTGGGGAAGGAAGGCTGCAGAGACCCCGTGGCCAACGGCTTAGAGTGAGGTGCCCATGGGACCCCCCCACACCAGCTCCATCTGCCAGAAAATCCCCCCCACCAGCAACACCTGACACGCGTGCTGCGGGGACCCTGTCCCACACCCCTCAGGCCTGTGGTCCCCCTGTGCCCAACGCAGGGCTGTCCTCTGGCACAGCAGGCAGCAGACAGGCACGTCCCAGCCCGGAGCATGGCAGTTGTGGGTGGAGGCATAGAGGAGCCATGCATCTTCCCTGGCACGGCTGTGACAGCCGGGACATGGTGCGGAGACCAGCCCCGGCTCTGCCAGGCAGGAACACCGGGTGTGGATTCCTGGTGCCCCAGGGACAGCCAGCACAGCCACGCCAGCCTGGGAGCCGCTAGCAGGGCTCAGCACTGCAGCCTGGCACTGATCCTGCGGCTGGGAATCAGTGCTCCAGCCTGCCTGTGAGGCAGAGAGATGGTACGTGCGGTCGC